CCGCCGCCCCAAGTCTATGTGGCTCCCCACTCCTTCCCTTCTCCTCACCCACCTTTTTCCCTTCCCCGGGGAAAATCGGCGGAGTGCAGGGCTCTCAGGTACTGAACCGTCATCTCCAGGATCTCCGCCTTCTCCAGCTTCCCGGAACTCTGCCAAAGGAGAAAAGGCTACTTGTGGCGGCTCAGCCATCCCAGTGCAACCCCAGCAAGGCTTCAGGTGACCCCGCGTCGGGCCCCTGGGGATCTGCGCCCGTGGAGAGAGGTCCGCCACACAGGCCCACCGCCTCTGGGTCCGGAGGGCCGCGCAGGGCTCCCAGCGTCTGGCACCCAAGTCTGTGGATGTTACCTGCTTTGCCAAGGCCATGGGCACCGTTTTGCCCAGCTCATTCAAGCAGCGGTTGATTCGATCCCTCCTTCTCTTTTCTATCACTTTATGGGAAACCGGAGTTCTCTGCAAACAGAGAGGTTTTTTTCTGTTTTTACGTTTAGGGTGTCTTGCCTTCCCCAGGCAAGAGCTAGTAATAGCTGCGCGCTCAGAGGCGAACCCCTGGAAAGGACCTCTGCTTGGCCACACTCAGGCCAAGGAGCTTTCTCCCCGCCGGTCCGCACAGGTGTGCCCCACTTTAAACCGTCCAACCCAATCTGAGCACTGAGGCACGCTAAGCGTGGGACTTTGGGGAGATCGCCGCCAGCCTCCGAGAGTGAGCTTCTCCGGGGCTGAGCACGCGACCTTCTCTATCTCTATCCCCTGGCTAAAGCTCGTAGGATTCCTCCACACTCAATGTCTCGCGTGGCTACATCTTAGAGGTCGGTCCAGCCAGGTGGCAGGTCAGTGAGTCCCAGGCCTCCATTGCCAGGGCGCAAGGACTCACTCTGCGTTCCTTGAGCTTGTCTGACATCCTGCTCAGTACGCGCCCTCGGGGAGAGGCGGTGGCGCCGGGCACCCGTCCACTCTCCACCTCGTGTGCCTCTCGGATGGTCCCAGGTAGACTGCAGGCCTCCCAACTCCAAGGGGCTGCCTTATAAAGCGGTCATCTAGGGCTCCAAGGGCATTCACGAGTTGAATTATTCCATAGGATTAGGGGATCTGGGTTTGGAGGATGTATGCATTGAAGATCAGTTTTAAAGAAGTTAAGAGAAAAAAAAAATTAGCAGCCGAGGGGGGCGAGCTGGGGGCAGATCAGCTTTGTTAATCCACGTGGCCCTTCAAAGGACACGTGATCGGCTGAGGAATAACATTTGCATGGCAACCGCCCCGGCGGGAAAAGGAGGCGGTAAACTGGGGCCGGCGGGCGAGCGAGCGCCTGCAGCAGTGGCGGGGCGCGGAGCGCAGGGGCGCAGTGGCCGTAGGCACCGGGGGGCGAGGACCCTCACAAAACAGTGTCGCCTCCTTTAGTCCCACCGCTGAGTCTCACACGATCGCCTGTTTACAAATCCCAGCAAGCCCGCCGTCCCAGCACCGAGTGCGTTTTAAAGCCTGTCCAGAGTCATTAAAGTAATTAAGTAAGCCTTTAATAGGCTGTTCCGCCGGGTTCAAGGGAGAGCTCTTGGAGACGGAGGCGCCCCGTTTGTTCCCAGGCTTTTCTCACAAGACTTGGTGACACGTCCATCTCCCCCTTTTTTGTTTACACCGCTTTATTTGTCCGGACATCCCGGCAGGTGTGGGGCTGCGGCTGGCACACGAGGCTCCCGCCTCGCCTCGCCCCTCCCGCGGGCCTTTGGCACGCGACGCTCCCCCCTTAACTCTCTGACCAAGTCGCCTGCTTTCTTTTCTCCCTCCCCCCCCCCTTTCGGGCTCTCTCTTGGCGGGGGGAAGAGGCTCAATTTGTAGCCTATTATCCTATACGAAAATGTCCATTGAAAAGTATGAATAGTTTTCATTGGGCTAAATTTTCATAATGCCAGAGGGTGGGGGAGGAGAGGGAGGCGGGCGTGTGTACGTGTAAGAGTGTAAGGGGGGTGGGGTGGGAGGACTGGGGGGGGCAACACGGAGAAGAGTGGGCCGAGAAGAAAAGGGGGAATGCAGCTGGCGCAGGCGAGCATTATGCGACGTCACCTGCGTGAGGGCGCTTACAGACCCCCTATTCATTTGCCTAATTTTGGTCAATTTAACAAACTTCAGGAGAAATTATTGTGGCTTTGTCAGGGAGGGTGAAGCCTTCTGATCGAATTAACAGCATGTTTTGATCCGGTAAATGTCATTAGAAAGGGAGAAACAATCGCGCTTAGAGGCTCTGGGTAATGCGCCCTAGTGGAGACGCCAAAGCGCACGGCTCACAAAGGGAGCAAGTAACTGCCACAGTGAACTTTTGTACCCGCCCCTCGCCCAAGTTTTGACACAAAAAGGCATTATTTCATACTTGAATACGTTTAATCCAACGATTGTCTATTTTCTGCAAACATATTTTCACAGCATTGTTAACTTTTTATGTCCCCCTTTCGCGGGTGCCTTTTCTTTAACGTTTGGGGGCGGGAGAGCGCGGACACTCTGGGCATCAATATTTGTCACGGAAAAGGCCCCGTGAAGTTAGGGAAGTTGATCTCTTTTTTATGGTTTTAGAAAGCGAAAATATCGGGGGGAGGAGGAGGGAGGGAAGGCACGAAGAGAAACGAGGGAGGAAATTGGCTGGAGAGAGCCAAAGGGAAGGAGGGGGAGGTGGTGACGCCTGGGAACTCGCTTGGCCGCCTGCGCCTCGGCGGGCAGCGGGCCGGGGTCCGAGGCCTTCCCTGCCGGTCCTCATTCACGTTCGCTGCCTCGGAACCCTCGCTCGACGTGCTTCGGCCTTGCGGGGTGTGGGTGGTGGGTGAACTTTCTTGCAGATGGAATTTTTAAAGAATGATCTTTCCTGTCTGACCTAGAGCCTCGGGATTCTCAGCTTTTTCTAATATTTTCCATCGGCCAACGTGGAAGACTTCTCTTTAACCATCAATTCCCCCCCCCCCCATCCTCGGGTAAATCCTCTCTGCTAGGCGCTGCCCCGACCAGGCTCTCCCGGTGGGTGGTGCTAGTGGGTGGCACCGATGGGCAGGGCAGAGCCCTGCTTGCCGAGGAGGCCAGGGGAGGCTCTAGGGCGCAGAGCCAGGTGTGGGGTGCAGGGGCCTCAGAGAAACAGCCGCCCAGCTGCCGTGGCCTGGGAGGTGTGGGGCTCTGTCTGCTTCACCGACTCTAGGGTGTCCCTCGCAGTTTTGCCCCCAGTTGTTTCTTTCCTCCCTTCACGCCAGATTGAGCCGGACGGGCACTCTCCTGCAGGTTGCCCGGCCTGCAGCGGTGCCTTCTCGGGGTTGTCCATTTCAGTATATTCACCCGCATACAAAAGGATTAAACAGGAACCCTTATCATCCAAATTAACTAACATGAATGGGTAAAAGGGAGTGTGCACACCCCTCTTTTTTTTTTTTTTAAGCCAGTGGACTAAGGGTTGATCCTCTTACTGCTGGTGTTAACCACCAGCTGCAGGCACCTTCCACAAGCTCACTTCATTCCATGCCTACTGGTTAATTTTCTCAGGTTTGATGGTGGTGCTGGGCTCAAGGCTTGCCCAGGACTCAAAGCTGCTGTGTTGGGTGGAACTGGGCGAGGTGTGGTGTGTGTGCGCGCGTGGGTGCAGCTGGGGAACACAAAGGCGCATGCTCACCTTGTCACTTGCGAATCCAGGATCTCCATCTAGGAGTTGGGGGACAGGTTTGTGCTTTATTTTATCCCTTCCTACCTGAATGACAACAGCTGAAATTCGAGTTGCTCACGTGGTCTCCTCTCCTTACTTTGTAGGGATGAGGATCAAGTGTGCCTGGGTCCCGACTTGGCTTCCATCCAAAAAGGAGAGCCAAAATAGAAGAATACAAGGTCTCTAGAGCCAAATAGCCACTTCAAAATCCAGCCCCATCACCAGACCCAGGAGAGTTAGTGCTCTGCCTTGCCTCCAACTCCTCTTCTGCCAAATGGGGATAAGAATTGTGTCTGTCATGTCACAAGGTGGTTTCTAGGGTGAAATAAGGAAACACAGGCATGCTATTATATATGATTATAGTTATAATGATCTATTTTCTCTCATTTCCTATTTTTCTCATTACTGAAAAAGAGTTGCTGTCTGGAAAAGTCACAGTGATTGCCCTGCATTTTGTTAAGTTGGTGCAAACCAGGCTAATGAATGAGCATCTTGTGGCAGAGATGTGACAGGTGACATCACCCTGTGCTTGCTGTCTGTCCAGCTGTGCTCTCCCAATGTGGCTGCAAAGTGCAGCAGCCCCTTGACCACCAACAATCAAGGATTAGCACTGAAATCAAAGCTAGGGAGGGGAAGTGTTGGAGCAGATGCATATCTACAGTTAGGAGGAGTGAGTTCAAGTGCTCAGTCATGGCTAGTATGGACATATGTGTTCTGGAAATGCCAGGAGTGGAGACAAGGGCTATGTTCATCCCACAGAATGATAACCATATGAGGAAAGGCATGTGGCATTAACCCTCCATAATGGATATCCCACTGGCTTTCTGTATCTAGGAGCTGTGCATCTACAGACTTGGCCAATCAGGGATTGAACTCATTAGGACAAACTAGATGTACTAAACATTCTAGGTTTTGTGGAGGGGGCCATTACCCCCCTCCCCATGGAGTTTAATGACGATTTCCACAGCATATACATTGTATTATAAGTCACCTGGAGATATAAGTATGAAGAAGGGTATGTGTAGGTATATGCAACTATTACTCCAGTATGCATGCTGAGAGACAACGGTGGACTTCAAACATCCTGCTTGCTGTGGTTTGGATGTGGATGTGGTTTCTCCTCCCAGGGTCCATGTGAGTGTAGTCTTGTGCCCCAGAATCGCACCACTGGGAGGCCATGGCAATTTAAGAGGTGGAATGAAGAGGAAGGTCTGAGCTTATTGGGGGCTTGACCCTCAGAGGAGATGAGGGTGGTTCTATGGAAAGGTTTATTAGTAAAGCCTGAGCTTGGCCCCACCGAGCCCTCTAGCCTCCTTTATCCAGATGTAATCTCTTCCTCCTCTACACACTCCCACTGTGGCATGGAAAATGGTGTGGTGCCTCTGGAAGAGCACTCACCAGCTCTTCAGCTTACAAAACTGAGTTAAGTAAACTTCTTTTTGAACAAGTTAACCACCTCTGGTATTTAGGTATAGCAATGAAAAGCTGGCTGATTTGATGTTGTACATAATAAGTACGTACAATTGTATGTCATTAAAAATAAGAATTAAAGCCAGGCACCAGTGGCTCATGCCTGTTATCCTAGCTACTCAGGAGGCTGAGAGCTGAGGATCACGGTTCAAAGCCAGCCCGGGCAAGGAAAGTCAGTGAGACTCTTATCTCCAATTAACCACCAGAAAATTGGAAGGGGCTCTGTGGCTCCAGTGATAGAGCCCTCACTTTCAGCGGAAGAGCTAATGAAATATTACCCTGTGCTTAGTTCCCTGGCATCTCAAGACCTCTGTTAAAAATATACAGAAAACACAAACAGAAGAATTAAAAAAATGGTTACATTTTTACTATTTCTATAGTTTCCAAACCCTGAGAGATGGATTCTTTTGTGTTTCTAATTTTAGACATTAACTATTTGTGCCTTGAGATGAAAGGAAAAGAAGAATGCATGAGTTATGTGGTCATTGCAGGCTAAATTGTTCTCAGACTAAATGTTTGGGCTGGTAGCTTTCAGATCTTCCTTCTACCTCCCATCTCCAGTGGGTCATAGTAGACTTTAGATTGGAGCCAAGCACCTGGAGTTTATACAGAGGCACAGACCCAAGGAAGGGGTGAATAGGAGCGGATGGGAGGAGGGAAGGATGACTTCTTGGAGGAGAGGCTGGGTGGAATGTGCTGAGGAGCCCATGTACTCTTTTTCTAGGGCTGCATAAGAAATGGTTGCCAAGTTGGTCATTTCCAAAACATGGAAATTTATTCTCACAGTCCAAAACTAAGATGTCAGTCAACCTACCCTCCCTTTTAGGTTTTGGGAGGCTCTATTACTTGTTC